GGATAAATCCCTAGACCTGGCAGCCTTGCCGGGCATTTCAATTTCATCATAATAAGAGGAATTACATGGAAAACCCACATATTAGTTTGAGGCCGAAGCCAGAACCGGGCTAGGACACCATAGACAATTTAATTATGAATTTAACAATGGACAAAGACATTTTGTATTAAATTAATGGTTTATATTTCACTAAAAACATTTAATTTTCTAAAAATAAAATAGACGGTTTGAAAATATTTAGATATTTAAAAAATATTGGTAATTACTTACATTAGTAAGGATAGTCGGATTAGTCTGAAATTTGGACAGTGGATTATGTTTTTATTTTCTATTCACTTTTCAATCTATACATTTTTTTACGCTGAACTATAGTTTTTCTGTAATTCGCATTTAAAAAACTGATATTTTGACATAAATTTCAAGATGCCGCCGCCATTACAGCTGCTGTCAATGATGTGCGTATGCGCTAGTACATACTTCTTGATCCAATGTTGCCACACTTTTCAAATATATTGTTTATTGTGAAAATATTAATTCTCAAATACAATCATAAAGGAATAATAATAATGAGTATTATTTCCATTTTCTGTTTCTAAGGGATACATATAACTGTATTTCATTTGTTATTAACTTATGTTATTACGTATAGATTATAGCTTATTTCGTTTTATGTTGTATTTAGTTGCATGCATTAGTTATCAACTTCCTTATTAGTTTAAATTGTTATATGATATGAGTAGATTAGGTTTTAATTTGTTTTTTTATTGGTACTCCATTTTGCTTATTTAAAGTACGCCGTAGCGTGTTTAACCACAGAATAAGAAACAATCATAATGCTCACTTTCAAATGCCGCCTTTAAAGTTTTTCAGCACGCTATCGCCATGTTTTAAACGGAACCATAGACTCGAATTGAGAAATTTGTGACAAGATACGACAAAACTGTAATTTAAATTTTTAGAGATTAATAATTTAGTTAATTTGAAATAATTTTAATAATTAATAATAATTTTGAAATAAATTTAATAATAATTGGATTAGTTTGGATTTGGTTTTATTATGTTATTTATTAGTCAATATCGAGTTTTGCAAAAAACACTAATTCTGCAACAATAATAAGTCATATAGAGTATACTCTTATTAAAATTTAAATTCAATATATTTACTCCGAAAAAAAACAAATGTGTATGTGACATCATTGAACCTGCGTGGAATGTCTTATGTTGTGCGCATCGAGCAAAAAGATAAAAGAGGGAATCTAAGCGTTATGAAAAGGAGACCAAAAAAGTGGCCTCTGATAGCGGACATATCCGGAAATGCAAAGGCGCTAAATTTAAATTTTCCAACACTTATTAACAATAGCTATAAAATATTTTTCAGACGAGAAAGTTTTAATTAAATATTAACTATAATAGTCTAAAAAGTGACACAATTGGTAAAATATTTCAATATAAATAAAATTTCATGTGACAGTTGGGACAAACAATAACATAACCTAACTAAATTTGACTTCTTAAGGAAAGAGACTGTCTATCCTTGTCTAAAGTGGCCTCTCAAGATGGCACTTCCTGTCTATCAATATGTTTACCCCCACTACCTTTACATTCTCTCTTTTGTCTTATTGCTCGATGGTTGTGCGCAAACACGCTTGACTTGTTCTTCCAAATAAATGAATTTTGTCCATTTTACAATATTTTATATTTTTGGATAATTTAACGGAGAAAATGATTGGTATTTACAATTGATTTATAAATTTTATATAACTTTTACGGCTATTTCGTATTTCGATAATATTTTTCTCTTGCTAATTTTTGATTTTCTATACTTTTTATGAAATTTTTTCAATTTTTTTACATTTTTTTACTTTTTGTATGTTTCCGTAGACGGAAACATGAAAATTTTGCCTTTTTTTCATTTTCCGGGTAAGTCCCCGAAAAATTCGCATTTTTAGGGACCCTTACTAATGTAAACAATTACCAAAATATTTACAAACAGACGCTACAGCTGCAGCTACGTTTTCATGAAGGGATTTATGTCCATAGACATAAATCTCTAATTTATGTCTGTTGGTTTTTTAACCAGGGGGAGTAAACTAGTAAGATAGATTCACACCCAAGAAAGCAATGACGTATAATATATTATACGTCATTGGGACAACCTCACACGTCGATTCTAACCTAACTTTGTTTGTTTATATTTGAATAATTTTTTCCAATTCAATTCCAATATATATTTTTCTTCATTCTAATTCCAATAAAAATATGTTAGATTGTTATGAAGAAGTTGATTACCTTTTTTTTAGAGTTTATTTATCACATGGATACTTATCACAAATCCAATGGAATATTTCATTATATAAACAATATTTCATCAGCACATTAACTTAAACAACAAAACAATGTATGCCACTTTATAGGAATATAACCAATTTTTATGGGATTGCCCATTTTTCAAATGTTCAGGTATAGACTTATTTTCATTATTCAGGCCATTTTTCTTCTTCGCGTGCCATATCAGAATTATCCAACATTGGCAATCACCATTTCGAAGGCTTCTCGATCTTTTGCAATAATTGTCCTGCATTTGGTATCTGAGTCCATTCACGAATGTTTTGTATCCAAGAAACTTGATATCTTCCTACACCTCTAAGGCCCTCTATTTTGCCTTTAAGAATCAGTTGTAATATTTTATATTGACTTCCCTTACTATATGTCCAAGATTAGACATTTTTCGATGTTTAACAGTCTTTAGCAGTTCTCTATCTTTGTTGACGCTCCTTAATACTTCTTCATTAGTTTTCCTTGCTGTCCAAGGTATCTTCAGCATTCGTCTATGAACCCACATTTCCAATGCTCCAATTTTGTTCATGATCGACACTTTTAGCGTCCACACTTCTGCACTGAGATGGTTATTTCTGCACTGAGATCTAAACTGAGATGGTTATTGCAAAGAAATAAGTTCATTTTCATAAAAGTAGTTTTAGTCATTACTATTCTACGTTTCATTTCTATGTCTGAATCTAGTTGGTCTATTATCACAGTTCACAAATATGCCATTTTGTGAACTTTCTTAACTTGGACTCCGTTTAATTGAAGCTTTGGATCGGGATGTGGGTCACGACTAAACACTAAAAATTTGGTTTTGTTTGAGTTTATTTTAATACCCATTTCCTCTCCTACTTCGTGAATACGATCAAGCAGAATTTGAAGACCTTCAATATTATCTGATAAAATTACTGTATCGTCTGCATATCTTATCACAAGAACTTCTTCGCATTTGCGTCTAATTCTGTTGTGAAGTATGCTGAGGAAAATTTTAAGAGTGTGGCTCATTAGGCTAATTAATCGATATTCTGAGCATTTTCTCGCATTGTGTTTTTTAGGTATTGCGACAAAGATGGATTTGAGCCAATCTGCGGGAATCACTCCGGTGTTATATATTGAATTAAAAGTCTTACTACTACTTTTATGTTATCATTCTCTATTAGTTTCAGAAATTCAGTTGGTGTATCATCTGGACCAAAAGCTTTTCTAATTTTAGAATTATTTAAAGCGTGTTCTACCTCGCATTTCATAATTTTTGGGCCGTCAGTACAGTTTTGGTAGAATTCGGCAATATTATTCCTGTCATCTTCAAACAACTCTGATATATACAGCTGCCATTCTTTTCTTATTTCGTGCTCATTTACAATAATTTTGTTATTATTGTCAACGAGTACAGAGGGAACTCGTTTTTTAAATATGTTATTCATTTCTTTTGGTTTTTTGTGCATATTAAATAACTTGCTTACTTAACTAACTTAAATAAATTTCGTCGCAACTTTCTCTCATCCATTTTTCTTTGGATAATTTTATCTCCTTTTTTATTCTTCTCTGCAGGTGTCTATATTTTGTTACATTAGATTTTAGCAGTCGACGTTGTTCCATTAATTTCAAGATGTCGTCTGTCATCCATTTTATTTTTCTTGATTAAGTTTTTTTTATAATCATTGTTTGTGGAGATTTCGTTAACTTGGTTTTTAAATTCACTCCATAGTTCTTCTGGATATTCTAGTTGTTCTCCGATTCAGGCCCTACATAAATAAATTGTAACTCTTTCAGGTCATAGAAGAAAGATTACATTACTTTAGCAAGTCTTGATTTTAACAATACCTATTCTGCAAAACTAATCTGTTGCCTGTTTTATTTTTGCTACCATTGCTGTTATTTTCATTCCAGGATGATTGATCAATTTGTATTTGTTTGTATATGTTTGTATTTGTATATGTTCATAATGCATTGTTTTTTATTTTATGATATTTGATGATAATATGTATCATTTAGATATGAGTACCTACAATTTTATTAATGGTAAACAATATAATAATTTTAAATGTTAATGTTTCATGTTTCAACAGTTCTTATATTTTAACGTAGGGTAGATAAACCAAAAATGTAATTTTATAATTACGAGTTAATAGCTCGGTCGAGTTTACTTAGCTTGGAAGAAAGCAGAACAGTACCTACAATCACTTTTTAACATACTGAGACCAACTTGAGAAACTGAAATTAAATTCTTGTAAACAACAATAATTATTTTATAGGTAATCATTTCAAATAGCTTGGAAAAATTGTATAGCTTGGAAAAATTGTATAGCAAAAATACAGCACGATAATTAGTTATAGGGTATCTACAGCTGGTCAAGGAACAACTTATTTAATAACAAAACATCAACACCCTCCGTCAAAACAGACTCATTGCTTGCTTTTCAACTTTGTGTAAGTTTTTCTATGTAGGTATAGCCCAGTGATTGTCTTTTAAACACTAGCATAGAGCCTCAACAGAAAGAATGCACAGGGGTTTCATGGGATACTTTAAGCTGGAATTTACGACCTCAAAAAAGCCGGCCTGAATGCTGTCCTGTCCATGGATTACTGAATGTCAAGAATGCATTTTTTCTATAGACAACCATATTTTCCTAACTTTCGGATGTTGGTGTCCCTGTAACACGCTAAAATTTGTGGTTATGTTTGTGTCTACATAACCGTCAAATATACAAATTTTTTATATTAAGAACAAAATGACCGAATTTACTTTAAGTTATCGCGAAGTTATACCGGATCAAACGGTTTTTGAAAATTGGAAAGAAATCTCCCTTACTACAGGTACGATTTATGATAACATAATAGTATTATTTTTATTAAAAATTATCTGTTTAGGTGGGACACAAAGTACTCTCCAAGATATAAAAGTAGCTGAACGAGCAAATGGATTTGCTTATGAAGATTCAACAAAGCATCATACAAGAAATAGATTTATTTACTGGTAAGTAAAATTGACACTCCTTCACTGGTTCTTAAAATAATAATAATTTGAAAACTACTTAGCTGTACTGGTATGTAATATTAAAGCAGAACTATTATTGTTACTATATTATAGGGCTACAAAAATGCAATATTCTGCATGTATCATCTTCATAATTTAATTTGGTTTATGATTCTGATTTTTCATTTTAGGAGAATCAACTATGATGTCTTGGAATTGGTAGAACATAGTTTGGATATTAATTTAACAGCAAATAGAGTTAGATACAAGTTTACAGATACTCCTATTCTGGATGGAGTTTCCATTCACGAAACTTATGAAAATATTATTGTGCTTGTCCCAACTGTTTGTAGTATACACCGTTTAATATTTCCACACCCTGATAGGTTTCATAGACAGGTAAGTACAGTTATGAATGTGTACAACATAATCACCTGTAATGTTGTTTTGTTTATTTGTAATAATAAATTAATAATGCATTGCTTCTTTTATTTGTATTACAGACTTGGTTGTATTGCTTGCTTGTTATACTGTCCTGTGTCACTTATTGCCTATTCTTGAAAAAAAAATATTCCATGTTTGCCCCTCACTTATATTTGATGTTTTTAAAAGAGAATAATAGATTTTTGTTTTTTTTAGGATGATTTACTGGGAGTGCATCCAGATTTGGCTGCTCCCTCAATATTTTCAAAAGCTTCACCTGTGGATGCCAGAAATCCAAATACTTTTTATGTTTTTAATAACCCAACCACTGCCAGTATGTATTTTCCCAATTTTTTACTTAAGTATTTAATGGCTTTATAATGTTTTTCAAAATTATTTAAAATTCAGAGTATTTTAAAAAACGTTTGAATACATTATTAATTATTTATATTTATATACTAAATTATTCTCATTTGCCAATATTACCATTATATCTTTTACTATACAATACCCTAAATACCCTTATAATGGTACCTAATGTACGGTATGAGACATGTTCCAAAAAAATCTGTCATTCGTTATAAAATGCGGCAAAAAGTTCTAGTGTCATGTGTGGATTACGAGTGTAATTAATAACTTTTCATGAACTTTCTGTGTACTGCACTTACCAACACTACTTATCACTAATTTGTAATAAGCATGTTTTGTTTACATCATTACATAGCAAGGAAACACATATAGGCTAATCAGGGAGAGTGTTAGCATAAGCCTGATCACTGGCGGTATTACTAGTCTTGACACTGATCGGTTGGAACTGGATAATTTATGATATTCAGTCTCAACTTCTTAACAGTTGTTTAAAGTGAACTGGAAGACAAAGCCATTACAAATCATATCATAACCACCCCGTGATCAAACCCCACATATCAAATTTCCAAAAAGGGATAGAAAGAAGACATAAGTTATATTAACATCAGATATACTTGTACCATTAAAAAACAGTTTTGTGTTCTGGAATTTACTGAATCTGTAAGCAGTCATCGATGTATTTCATAATTAAAAAGTGAAATGGATACCTTATGTCAGCGTTTCTCAAACTTTTACCATTTGCAACCCAATTCCCCATAATTATTTTCCCCACGCCATCTCCCGTTCATTTTTCAAAGCATAACATAAAAATATTCTTAAAAAGATTGTTACTGGTGATGGGTAAGTTGTGGGTTATGATTATGATAAAAAAAAACAGAAAGTCTTCACAATGAAGCTTCCATTCGTGTTGATTGACTTTTTTTGGTTATGAATATATTAATGAACCATGGACCTACATTTCTTCTATATAACCATGCACACTTTGTAACAATGTTTCATAAAAATATGAAATTAATATCAGTAATTAACAACCTCAGAAAAATATTTTGAATTTTAAATGCTTTTGTCTAATTATTGATGAACCACATTAAAAATATTTCAGTTGTACCAATCTATACATATTATCTTTTAGCTGACCAACTGCCCAATTTAGCCAGTTCTTACTTGTTACCTGAAACTGAGGAAGCATTTTTTATATTAGCCTATCCATCGACAGAACTACTATTGATAAAACAAAATCCTGACAATGGTCAAGTTGTATGTACAGAGCTGAAAGGGGAATCTTTGATGCCCAGATTTTTGTCTGGTCTTGCAGAAAAGTTTAGACCAAGAAATTCTGACGGTGATACCATAGTGAGTCTCTTGTTTTATATTGTTGATTATGAAACCTACGTTTTGACATTGACAAGAGATGCCCATCTCAAGTTTTGGTCCTGTACTAAAGGGCAATGTGTCGCTGTTATAGATGTCAGAGAAAAGACAGGAGATGGTTCAAAGGATCGAGTACAGGGAGGTAAGTTTGGTATCACTCTATATTAATTATTAGCGTCTTTATTTAAAGTAACACAATCTTTGCTTTGAATTATAATATGCTACCTCTATTAAACGAATTACAGAAATTAAATTCTGGAAGATACAGGTCTTTTTTAATTATTTTAGCAGTTGTTATGTAGTTTAGAAACATAAAGTGTCGTATATGTTCTGTCGTCTGAAGTAGATGGCACTACATAGCCTATCCAATCTGAAAAGAGCGAAATTTGGTTAAGAATCCTGTAATTCTCTCTGCAAATCTCTCCTCGATCTGCCACTGCTTGATGATACTCAAGCCACCACTTGATGATTCTCAATAACGGTGAAACATACATATATATAGAGAAAAATTTTGATGCATAACACACCTGTTTCTCTAAAATGAATTATTTAAATTTATTTCTGGGAGATGTAGTATGCTTAAATTTTGATGTTTTTTCTTGTAGCCATATTAAGAAAAGCAGTAGATGGCAATAGTACTGAAAGTATCTTGGCAGTGTTTTTAAATTACTCCAGTGGTGGCCAATTCCATATCTTAAATCCAATAATAAAAGGCCAGGAAATAACAATTGACAGATTAGTCACTTTATACTCTCCTGAGGTAAGTTTTTACAAATACACATAGAATTAAAAATAATTTTTCGATATTTTGTTTCTTTGCTAGCTGTCTGTTCTACAATGCTTGTACTACAGCAAATTGTATTTTTGTACATATTTCATCACCTATTCTATAAGTCAAATTTTGTGTATGACCAATTGAGACCATATGCGGAAGAAATAGTTGGGGGATATCAATGTGGTTTCTGCAGGCAGAAATCCACAATAGATCAGATCTTCGTCTTGAAGCAAATTTTGGAAAAGACTAGTGAATTTAATATAAACACACATTATCTTTTCATTGATTTTGAAAGTGCCTATGATAGCATCCATCGAAAATTTCTGATCCATGCACTGAAAGAGTTTAATATTCCAACTCAACTCATTGATATATTAAAAGAAACACTTAAAGTACAAAGCAAAATTTGAATACAAAACGCACTAAAAGATACAATCCATGTGAGAACCAGCCTATGACAGGGAGAGGCATTTTTCTTCAGAAATACGCTCTTTGATTTTTTTTATACTTCTCTATTTCTATGTAATCTGTCGTTTATTCAGAAGAATCACTTCTTATATATTTTTAGAACGATCTTATCGATTTTGCGTTACAAACTAATCGCCTTTGGTCTGTATGGCGATGTGAAGATGGCGACAGCGTAGTGTACACTGCCACATTGCCCGTGTCTCGTTGTGCTTCCTACAAATCGAGCAATTGGTCACCTATTATTTTAGAAACATTACCTGATGCCAACCAAGCACCTGCTAATGATGGAGACAGTGATCCAGACAAGTATATTTGCAACACATTTTCCATCCCGGCAGATTTCCTTTGCACATAATAAGCAAAGCTCTTTCTGTAAGTATTACACACTAATTATATCATATATTTATTATTTGAACTCAATTCTTTAGATTTACAAGAGGTCTACTATTTTATCTGATGCCCAAATATCAGCCTCAGCTTTAAAACAAAGAATTTGTCTAGCTGTGGATAATGAAATACAAAACACGTTAAATGGATCTAATGTGAATGATGATGAATATTTAGAATGTGCAGAATGGTAAGCTCGTATATAATAACATAGTATATATGATTTCTTAGATTACTATTGGTGTAGTGATGTAGAGCTACGCCTTTTTCTTAACTAGAAATATTTAAAACTTCTGGTGTCAATTTACGCATTTTTTTTTTAATTTCAGGTGTTGGCAAAAATTCTACTCTTGCTGTGTACAGTACCATATCGCTAGCTTAAAACCTCTTGGTCTGATGTTATTACCTTCTGTCTCTGGAGCAGTATTTTTGAAAAAATCGACGTTTTCATTCCTTAGACCTTTGGATCCCCTGGAACACATGACTCTCTGCTATGAAGATGTTTACAGAGACCAATTCATCAATTTTTCTATGTTGGCTGAAGGTAAGTTGCAGAAATCGATATTTTTATCCAGTGTGGAAACCTGGTATAGAATTTTATTACTGAAATATCAGTGAAACTAAAATATTATCGAGTAAATTATGTTGTGTAGTGAATTAGGATATGAAATATTACATAAAAGAATTGTCCTCAGATTTAAGAGCATAACAACAAATATTGAACACCATCACAGGCCCGGACATACTTTTAGAGGAAGTGGAATCAGCAATAATAACACTTTAAGATGAAAAAGCTTGTGGCTCAGATGCAGTTCGGTGCGATATCATCAAAATGTTTGATGAGAGATTTAGAAAAGAATTTATTATCATTTTCAGTGAGATACGTAGAACTGGAAAAGTAGTAGCAACTAAAAAAAAAATGGTTGATCAGAATTTATAGCACTGCCCAAAAAGCAAGGGACCAAAAAGTGCAGTGATTACAGAACAATAATGCCCGATTTCACCAATGATACCTAAATATTTAGGAATTACCTAAGTTGCCTAAGCCGCTTAAGCATTACCTAATGATAGGATACGTTTTGCAATCTTCCTAAATATTTTAGGTGTTACTTATACTCGAAAGTGAGGTTATGTTTTTACAGTCTTGATGGATGTACATGTGAAGCTTGTCAACATCTTGTTTCTTACCTTAATTTGTGAGTTGTTATTTTGTAGTCATTTTGTAATTTTGTATTATTTTATATTAGTAAGTGATGCTTTAGTATAATTCATGATATGGAAGCACTACAATTTATCGAAAACCTGGATCGGTTCGAATCGTCATTTCATTCTGAAGAAGAAACAGAAAGAAGACCTGGAGTTATTAACAATAGTTCAAACGTACCCGAGTTAATACCCAATAAAGAATTTCCTAGATAAGCAGTTCTTTTAGTTCTGAAACGCTATTGTTCCGAAGTGTTGACTTACGAAGTTTCTTTCCATAAAAATTACTTCCGAAGGCGACTTAAGTATCGTTGGTAAACTCGGGCATAAGTCTCATAAGTCACTGGTTGAAACTTTTTTTTTTTAATCAGACATCAGAGATTATACAAAACCTGCGTACAAGTATCACCAATACAATTGTGGTTTTGTAAAATGTCTGGAAACAAGAGATGAGATATTCAACATATAAGAGCTATTCCAAATACATACAGATATGAACTGTAATGTATATGCCTGCTTAATATTATCGAAAGCCATTTGACAAAGCAACGAGAAAAAAGAGAAAGTCAAAATTCTGCGTGATTTTTAACAACGATGTATATTGTCACCTCTCACATTAAACTGTACTCAGGGGCAATTTTCTCAGAATCTCTATAATACACGAATGCAGGGATACTATTAAACGGTGAACGCCATAATAAATTTCTTGCTATTATTTCGATTACGATAATTGTTTGTTCGGTTAGTCGGTTGTTGGCGTTAAATAAAATATTAATTTTGATGAAGGTATTCCCGGAGCTACGACCCGCTGTTGATACCTACGAAAAGTAAATACGATTAATGTTACAAAAATTAAAACAAAAATACACTGCATTAGTCAACACACATGCCTAGGAGTAGGAATAATCTGAGTTAGAGATAAATGGATCGATCAATACCTCTAACACTTAGTTCGGGAGCTGCTACTAGAATAATACTCTAGTAGAAGCTATTGGCCTTCAATCAATACTCTAGGGACAGTGGATTTGTTCCCAGATCAATACTCTGATAGAACTCCCAGGACGGTTATCCTTAGGTCAATATCCAAAGGCCTGGTGGAGTTCCCACTAGATCAGTACTCTGGCTGATCTCGATTCTCTCTTGCGACGGCCGTTGTTTGATACCGTTGTTGGTGTTCCATCCCTAGCGCGCAACGGCGGGAATGCGTGTGTACTCATAATGGAAGAGAGAGTTAAAGACGTCAATCATGCAGTACCAACGTTGCCAACTCTTAAGACTATTCGAAAGCGTATTGTGTAAGACCTCATATATCCGTGAAATGTGGAGGACGTCACCCATCGAGCAATAAGACAAAAGAGGGAATCTAATCGTTATGAAAAGGAGACCAAAAAAGTAGCCTCTGATGGTGGACATATCTGGAAAAGCGAATGCGCCAAATTTAAATTTTCTAATGTGTCTTAGACGAGAAAGTTTTAATTAATTATTAATGATAAGAGTCTAAAATGCGACACAATTGTTAAAAAACTTCAATATAAATAAGATTTCATGTGACATTTGGGACAAACAATAACATAACCCAACTAAACTTGATGTCAAACAAGGAGAGAGACTCTCTTTCCTTGTTTAATGTGGCCTCTAAAGATCGCACTTCCTGTCTAACAATATGTTTGCCCCCACTACCTTTACATTTCCTCTTTTGTCTTTTTGCTCGATGACGTCACCGAATAATGCAGAAAACCCATAAACACTTTACAAGGACTTGCTGAATGCAAGAAATAATCGTTAACTCGAAAATTAGTCAGCCCCTAATAATTCGATGGGATCACACCAAACTTCCAACCGAGTTCAGACAGCACAATGTCAGATTCATGAAATTTTGAAGTATTTATTTAGAAACTTAAGAAAAATTAAGAATTTATTTATTTAACTAACCTTAATAATTAACCTTAATTTGTTCATTTGATGCTTTACTTTCATTTTCTTTTCGTAGATCCAGACACAACCGATGATGTAATGAACTTGTTTAAAGTCATCGTATATTTAGAACAACAAATGAGTGAATCATTCGTCCAGGCATTCGAGAAAGAAATTTTTAATCTACACGCACCTGATGTCATCATGGAAGGTTTATTAGAGAAGATTCAATCTGAAATGGATTGCCAGGTAAACATAATTTTCCACCCAAATTATTACTTTTAATTGTCATGATCTGTAGGTAGAAAATAATCTGCCTGCTTCCTCAAAAATCACTGTTTACATTTTGTTAGTTGTGTTTATAGTTGTGTTTACAATATAATCATAATCTATTAATGTTAAGTGACTTAACATTAACATAAAATAACATTTACTATATATAAAACAGATTAAACTTTACAATCATTAAGAATAGTTGTGCAATTTATCTCCTCTGGCGTCGCAAAGAGAAAATCTGTGGAACTGTATGGTCGTTGGAAATATTTTTGTATTATATATTAAATGGTTTAGATCTCACCGAAGTTGAATGATGGATGTAGTAATTTGGAAATTAGTGTAAATCAGGTCTGTTGGCGTGATCTAATATTTTTAATTCGAATTGTCGATTCACAGAACGTTTTCTGAATAGAAAGTCTATCATCAGTGTATTATTACCAGATATACGTGAGTTAAGCCACTAAATATCTGAGTAAAGTACTTTTTAAGGGGTTTTGTTATTGTATATTGTTCAAATTATTCGATGGTATGAATTACTACTTTCTAAAGATATCATTTAATTTAATTACTACATTTGATCTCTAAATGTTTAATACTGCCCAGTTCTATTCAAAATATTAAAATAGTTTTTTTCTTGTTTAGTTTGCATCGCATATATTGGAAATGATGAACGACGTTACCGATCTATACAAAGGAATGCACAAAATTTTAGAACTCTTAAGATATGAAAATACGTTAGCCAGCCCTGATAACGACATCAATCCTGGAGCTTTGTATCATTTCAGTTCCTTGTTGGGCACTTCAGTTGTCGCTGAAAGCTTGAGACAACAAGCACAGATAAGGTAAGTTAATTAAATCAAATTTTAATATCGTCTATTTTTACAGATCGTTTTTTAAGGAGCCTTTTTGGATCTGTTAATGAATATTACCTGCGGTATAATTTTCAATTTAATTATTTTCGCTGTATCGATATAATAATCCTATATTTATTATATCTGGATTTTCAGATATGCATAGAATTTTACATATTTTTATTTTAGGCGACCTTTTTTATTTTAGGCATCCATCTTGGTTTTTTTCACTTTTTTAATTTCTAAATTCGTTTTTCTTAAAACATCATCATTCAACATTCAACAATATTGTATTTGTTGTCCTATTACCACGACAGGATTGAAAGTACAGTTATAAATAATACTAGATTTCCGGATTACAGTGTACTTGTAAGCACGCTGGAAGACTTGCAAGACCTTTTAATTAAACTGCCTGACATAAAAGGGTAAATAGACGGTACTCAACTTGAACATTAAGAAGTTGCTGGTAGCAAACAAAGTGAAGTCATGCGAAATTTGACGGAAAATGCATAGAACCCGTGTAGCAAAAAAATATTTGCGTTGCATACTTATGAGGCCTAAACTAAAACTGTTGCGCATAGCTAAATATGATTTTGTAAATTTTGACGTTTAATTAATGTAAACAACATTGGTAGATTGAAAATTCGTCGTGTGGTTTAGCAACAACAAATTTTCAAAACAACCAACTTTGTGAAGAATCTAAAAAAATTTGTGCTATGATTTGATAAAAGTTTAAAATTATCTAACTAAACAACAATGCTTCGATCGACTTTGTTTTTTTTTCGAGATAAAGCACCAGAGCATCATCTGTTCATATATTATGGTTTGTTGTTTGCCAGAAGTGATTGATGAATTGCGCAAAAACAATTGATATTGTCCCATCCTCTTGCACTAGGACAACGTCAGCTCTTACATGGCTCATATACCATTCGAGTAGTTGTGGACGAAGAACATCGATGTGGTGGGTCATCCTGCACACAGTATTGACTTGGCCTCGTGTGTTCCATTTCAGTGATGCAACTCGGTCACGAAGCGATATACTCATCATTGACCTTTCCATTTTCCTCTGAGGAAAATTTTAAAATACAATGCGTTAATGGCTTATTAAGAACTATATAAATTATTAAGATATACAAGGTTGCATAAAAGTTAACGCTTTCTGTATCAATCGGAATTTTTTTTTAATCATTATAAAGGAATACAATTGATTACACACAAATAAATAGAACTACAAAAAAATGGGAAAAGACAATCAGACTAATGAGAAAATATTATTGAAAAGAACAGAGGAATTAAAGTTTTTAAAAGTAAAACGACGCGAAAAACGAAATTATAAGACTAAGATGAACATGGAAATATTATAAAAAATATAAAAGACATGCTAAATCTCACAGAAAATTTTGGAACTATAAAAAATAAAATAAGACATCTACGTAGCAAATAGAGAACATATAATAGATATCAACTCTGAAGAAAAACAGCTGGACTAAATTGGTACCAGCTAGCCCAGAATCGAGAAAATTGGAGAGTAATAAGAGAGGCCTATATCGAAAAAAAGATAGAAAACGACTGAAGTCGACTTGGAAAGTTTTTTATTTCTATATCGCATGTCTTTGTGCCTCCCGTTTTCACATTCCTTCATTTTCTTCGACACTCAAGCTAAAGAATTTAAAGTCTTTATTCACAGTGACAAATCTGTTCTTTTATTACTTCTACTTTGATCCTAATCTATATTTTCGTATATTAACTTATATGCATGAACGTTAGTATTTAAGTGGCTAAACAATTTTACAATTTTTTTTGCAGGTTTCAAATATGTAGAAATTTACTTCTGATCTGCAACATTTTGTTGAATGAAAAAACGTTGGATTGGGGTGTACTAGAAGCCATACGTTCTGTATGTACCCCGGAGATTGTTGTACTCACACAAGCTAGTTATGTAGTTCTATGGCTGTGCGGATTAACTACTATAGTTAACTTACCGTAAGTAAATTAATTAATAAGAATAAGGAATGTGTTTATTTTACAAATATTTGACTGCCTTACAACATTGTGTTATTCTTGTCTGATATTTACATATACTTCATCTAATTTACTTACCGTTGCACGTCATTATCATTGATAGAGATTGAAGTTGACATAGTTGCCAAAGTATAAAAAAATCCTGACTCCATTTTAAATGAAATAGGTCACATAGTTATTGCAAAAGTATTACAATCTCTTTACAACGACTATTTAAATTCTTACGTGCCATTTTTGAAATAAAATACACTAATTTTGTTCTAAAAAGAACAGATTTTATTAAATGGGTAAAAATATAAAATAAGAGGTATTCACTTCAAAATTCAAAATAATAAAGTACAAAAAGTGTCAACACCGCAACTGTCAAATAAGTGTTACCAATTTATGCCAAACTATCACCTTCGTTTGATTACAGTTACAGTGTGTTCCGAACAAATGTTCTTCATAAAAACGCTTTGTAATGCATTTATACAAATTAAATGAAACATATTATTGTGTATTTTTTTAAGTTGACATTAATAGAAATCTTTAAATATTATTTCTACGCGTATATAATAAAATATGTCTAATGGCTGTAATGCCAGTGTACTCGGCAAAGTAAGTAAATTAGATGAAGTATATTTGACCAATTTCACAAAGTAGAACTCTATAGTTCATTCGTTCAGAAAAAATTCCCAACTATCAATAAAAGCACGTGTTGATGTTCGCCTTCTCATTCGTCAAGAGGCTATTAAATATAATTTATTACCTTAAGCCAGACAGATTCTCATGTTACAGATCCAAACTTGCGATTTTGTTTAAATTCAAATTGTATCGTGTTGGTTTTTAAGTTAATATATTGTGTGTTATATTTGTTACAGTTATTGTTAAGTTATTTACTGGTCGTGTAATTTTTTAGAGTTTAGTTTAATTGTGATTTAATGATTAAATATCAAGAAATTCTTACACTAATAGTTTCAAAAGTAAATATTTTTAAGAATCATACGATACACATCAGTACGACCATGATATAAGGAAACATGGTATGCTCACGCGCATCTATTTTGAACAGCCAATCGCGTTTACGACCAAAATCCGCCATTTTGAAGGCGGCAATTCAAATATGTACAAAATTGATACGAAATATCGTAGTTAAATAAAATAAAATAAAATTAATATTATGCATTAATCCAATTAATTCATATTTAAAATGATCTGAACAGACTCTTGCTAAAATAATTTTAAAAAAATCGGAACAAATTTACTTTTAAATTCCAATACATTGCAAAGTAAGGTTAAAAAATGCAAAACAAAGCAGACGTCAAGCATGTAGAGGTGGTTGATCCAAGTATTTTTGTGGATCAGGTCAAACTGATACGCGTAAACAAATATACCCGTTAAAAAATACTGGTTTGGAAATCAGTTTGTTATCATTCGTTTAATAGATATCTAAACATAACGACAACATTATTTGTATTTTGTTAGATTTCTTTATAGTTATTTAAATGACCGTTACTGTTATTCAGAGATTGTATAAAAAGTTCATAAAAAAATGGCGATAGTTTTGTCTACTTCACGCCAATTGTCATCTGTTGATATTTATCTAAAGCTTTGTAAACGTTGAGAAATGCACGATAAGAATTAAGGACAAATGCAATGAAACCCGTACTCGTTTATTATAATATATTGGTGTTAGGGATCAATTCCACAAGTATAAATAAAATACATGTTTCAAAGTAACTGGTACGGGATCAGGTCACCATCCCTACACGCATGTGACATATTGAAAAGATGGTGGATTTTGGTCGGCGCAGAAATGTGCAAAAATTAGTCCACCTATAATGACCCACCTTATAGTGAGCATACCTTGTTTCCTTATATCATGAGTACGACCATCGAGCAAAAAGATAAAAGAGGGAATCTAATCGTTATAAAAAGGAGACCAAAAAAGTGGCCTCTGATGGCGGACATATCCGGAAATGCAAAGGCGCTAAATTTAAATTTTCCAACACTTGTTAACAATAGCTGTAAAATATTTTTCAGACAAGAAAATTTTAATTAAATATTAACGATAATAGTCTAAAAAGTGACACAATTGGTAAAAAACTTCAATATAAATAAAATTTCATGTGACAGTTGGGACAAACAATAACATAACCAAACTAAATTTGACTTCTTAAACAAGGAAAGAGACTGTCTTTCCTTGTTTAAAGTGGCCTCTCAAGATAGCACTTCCTGTCTAACAATATTTTTGTCCCCACTACCTTTACATTCCCTCTTTTATCTTTTTGCTCGATGAGTACGACCCTGTTTGGCTTTCACGTGCGTATGTTGATAATTGGGAACATGTAAAATGAATGTGGTTTAGTGAAACACTAATATTATTAGCTTTCATAGCTTTTAAGCTATGAAGTGCTTATAACAACTATTTTGTCGGTTTTTTAAGGGCAATAAGAAAATCGACTTGGACTAAATGAACTAAAATAAGTTAGATATAAATATTAATAATACTTGTACTTTAGTTTCAGTGCTCGCGAATCTTCGATAAATAGATTGGCGCCACTCAAATTAGCTCCTGTTTTGAATTTGAGACCCGTTACTACATGCACGTCGTTATTGGAACTCTTTATATCCTCTACCGGTGGCCAGGAAGCAAGGAAATCTTTTGCCAGAGTAAATTGCAGCGACGAAGCATTGGCCCACTGGCATATCTCGCTTTTACCTTATTTGAATCACGTGAGGCATATAATGTATCCTTTAAACTATAACATATTTTTTCTGGTCTTGAAATATAGTGTTATTTAAATGATTATCATTGAGTATCATAGGTATATATAGTTATAAGTCCATCTTTATATTGCCTGTAAGTTTTTAGGAGATGGCTATTTTACACATTATAGTATTAAGTTATGAATAGTTAAACAATATTGCTCGTTTCCTTAACCAAAGTATAGTTGGCCCATAACTGGAGGTACAGTTCTTGCCGAGTGGCTGTTAAGCAGTGGACAACATTTATGGTTGCAGCAGTACGTTCGTTTACTTAGCAACTGGTGCGAATGGAATTGTTGTACACGTAAGTTTTTGTTTGACTTGAAATTATTCCTAAACGTATCAAATTTAGAATAGGACAAATTATATTATTTTTTAACAAAACATTAAAATATAAATACTGGTGTAACTTTCAAGTATACCAGGCCTTTTGAAATTCGAGAAGTTACAGACGGAATTTTTGTAGTTGAATATTTGTAGATTGTTTTTACCCAGAAAGAACTCATGATCTACTGTATATTTTTTCAAACTATAATGTATTATGGAATATCACCTACCAAATTTTAGTGCGAAATAAGTTGAAGCATTAGATATCAGTGAAGATAATCAAGATCCAAATTGTATAAAAAGTTCCTGACTTTAATCAGATAGTGGTAAAATGAAGATATATATAAGGTAATATAAGATAAGGTTCTTGAACTCCTAAGTGGAGCATAGAGCTTCAGTGAAAACGCGCCATCGGGTTCTATTTTGCGCTAAGGCCTTCACCTCATTCCAAGACTTTCCTTGTTTTCTTATCTCGTCCATGATGGATCTTCTCCAAGTTTGTACTGGGCGACCCTTTTTTCGTTTTCCTTGGGGATTCCACTCTAGGGCAGTCTTTGCAATACTGGAGTTATTTTTTCGGAGTGTGTGACCGATCCAACCCCACTTTCTGGACTTTATTTCATTTACTACCCTCTTTTGTTGGGTCAGGTGTAGTAAATCTTCGTTTCTGATGATGTTAGGCCAGAAAATACGAACAATTCTTCGTAGACATTTATTAACAAAGACCTGCAGTTTGTCTGTAAGGGTTTTTGTCGCTTTCCAGGTTTCATATCCGTAAAGTAGTACAGACATGACATTTGACTGGAATATGCGGATCTTTGTCCTCGTAGTGTATTCTCCAGACCTCCAAACAGGGTTGAGCATGCTGAAAGCTTGTTGCGCTTTTCGTATCCTCATACGAATATCGTCTTCTGTACCTCCGCTTTCTGTTATGACACTTCCAAGATACGTAAAGTTTTCCACATTTTCAATCTGCATGTTATTAATGGTGAATAGCGTGTTGTTTCTTGCATTTATTCTCATGGATTTGGTTTTACCAATATTGATTTTCAAACCTATTTTATTGGCTTCAGTGGAAAGTGTTTCCAATTGGTCAGCCACATCTTGGAACCTTTGTCCTAACAGGCAGATATCGTCGGCGTATTCTAGATCGCTTAGGCGTGTGGTTAACGTCCATTGTATCCCTCTTGTGTCAGCGTCTAGTTTGGAGAGAACATAGTCTAGAGCTATGTTAAAAAGAAACGGAGAAAGCACGCATCCCTGTCTGACTCCAGTAAGTACGTCAAATTCGTCACTGTTGATCCCATTGTGTGTCACGCTGCATTTCGCTTCAGTGTACGGTAACTTTATAATGGAAATTATTTTATGCGGGATGTTTCTTAGCTCTAAAATTTTCCATATTGCATCATGAGATAAGCTGTCAAAAGCACGCTCGAAATCAACAAAAACCATGTATAGGGGTGCGTTCCATTCAACCGATTGTTCCATTATTAGCCTCACAGTATTAATGTGGTCTATGCAGGAGGATTCTGGTCTAAAAAATGAAGATAGATGAAGGGAAAAGAAAAATTATTATAAATAGTTTTACAATACTCATAAAGTCGCAGAATCTTAACAAGCGGACAATAAGATGATAGTAGGTTAAATGGATCTGAAATATGTTTAATCTTTTAGAAACAGATTTCTTTAATTCTTTTCATAGAAGTTCTAAAAGTTTGTGATCCAGACACATTATGACATGTTTTGCCTTACTGTACATATTAATAGATGACACTACATTGGTTAGTAGGAAATAGAACACCTATCCTAGAATAGTGTAATGTAACACCTATCCAATTACAAGAACGGATTAGGCTATAGACAAATATTGTTGTTTGAATAGGAATGTTCCGCTTAATTGAAGTCTCAGCTTCACTTTTAGCTTCTTTATTAAGCAGGTGAAACACAGAAGTCTGTGTTTGATGGGTTCTTTGAATCGTTCTTTTGGTTCCTCGACAGACTCTTCTTTCCTTACAGTGATACTTCAGCAGCATACTCTTGATTATGTTTGTGAGATCTAAGGCGTCAGTGGGGTGATATATCTTGGAAAGTTATTTACGATGTTTTGACTGTGCTATAACAGGTTGCTACACAGGTTTGCAACTTATAGCACGAGCCCCACATGAAAATTAGTTTCTCAAATCCATCCTACGGCCTTTTCATCCAAAACCATCCGTTCTCAACACACTTATTCATCATCTCTACGAGGCATTGAATTTTAATAGTTCCTGAAGCTTCATCTGTTTTGTTGTAAAGACGTTTGGACCAGCAATTTTTGAAACGAAAACTTTTTTAGCGACTTTGTGCACATTTTAGATGGGGAAAAGCATTGAATACGCGACAGATTTTTGCGAACCGTTATCACTACGCAAATTCGTCGCAAAGTCGCACAACTCGAGAACGGCTGGGCGGATCATGATATTTGAGGTCTCGTTGAAAAGGGGAGAGGGTAAATAGTACAATGGAGTCAAATAGTACAATGGCGTCATTGCTAACAGGGAATTACATCATATCTCCGTTGTTATTGGTCCGATTTTAGAGTGTGATGCGTTAAATAAAAAAAAAAGGAAAAAAACAAACAAGGCGGCTATTAAAAGGGCACTACTCAGCATTATCTGTTCACTTAGGCAAACCTCTTATCTTACATCTCTACAGCCATATCTTCATCGGCTCAGATCAAACAAGCAGATTCATAGTTAAGCCAGTTGGTCCTGAAACGCATTCAATGCAGCATCGCATGAGGTATGTGACACTGAATTTACGATATTGATAAATTCTTCCTAGCTTCCTGGGTCAGCTTGCAGCTTGCTCTCTTCTTTGTGCAGGTCTTTAGTAAAAAGTCCCCCTTCGTATTGTTGAAATTAAATTAGCGTTGGTAAAGAACTATCTCAGGAGATACAATTCCTTTAACTTCAGCAATGACTAGATTGCGGTGCGTTCTTGCAAAATGTTTATGATAAAATATTATCAGCATTGTATCCTCTTTTCCATCTACTGCTGTTGAACGATATTGGGCCGTGGAGAATTTATTCCATCCAACTCTCCAGCTCTTTACTGGTCTTGTCTGTGGCGTTCAGTGTAATAACTTCAGCATACTATTCATTTTCTAGTTTTTTTTTCAAAAGTGTTTCAAAACACACCAAAACATCTCGTTAAGTGAATTTCAAGATCTTACGAAAACTGTTACTAATATCAAATTTAAGAAAATACTCTAAAACTGTTACGGTTACGGAGTTAAGTTAGTTAGTTAGGGTATCTCTATACCTAAATAGATTTATTAGTACTAAAAAACACATTTTTAGTTTATGAATAATTTTAATATTACCGTTTTTATTTCAGGAAACTTCTTGCTAGCTTCTGCCTTTTTGTCAACTGGAGAATACAACAAAGCAGAAGATTTGTTTGAAACTGCTGCTAAAGGGGTTTTAACAGATGCCTTTTTACAAGAACGTTGTTTAAAAGGAAATTTACCCAGTCCAACTGGAGCGTACATTCACTACTATTTAAAGGTAAATGGCAATACTATTGAAGATCTCCAAATATTATTTCATTGTGGTCTCTAAGCTGCGAAAAAATGTTTATTTTGTAGTTTCTTTTCTTTAAATTTATATTTTATTTTTTACTTATGATTCAGGTTATTCAACTATTTGAACTTCACAAGGCCAAAGATTCCGTTATAAGCATTGCAAATACTGCTCTGAGTATTGTAGACCCAGAAGATCCGTTAGCGGTATGTACATATTTTTAGTTTTTTTTTTAATTTACCATATCAATCGCAGTAGGATATTAGTAGCTATACAATTATTATAATATAGTGGTTTAGAGGTTATCCAGTTGTAGATTGCACTATTCAATAAAAATAAATATACAATACAATAATTGACATATATATTACATTAAATTATATATATATATATATATATATATATATATATATATATATATATATATATATATACATATATATATACATATATATATATATATATATATATATATATATATATATATATATATATATATATATATATATATATATATATATATATATAACGACCTTACAGGACAAGGGGTCTAAGTAACATTTTTGAAAAAAATGAGTTAGGTGAATGAATGAGTTGTGAAAATACTAATCTATTTGGTGGTGAATAGATCCAAGTGATTGTTTTGATAGGTGCTGACATCTAGCGTGGTACCCCTTAACCACTGAGTATTGATAAGTTCAAACTTGGGACGCTAGGGGCCCAAAAGCACTTAGATCCCTTTACCACGAAACCATCACAGTTTAGTTGTAGTTGACATAAGTGTTATTAAGAACAATTTTGATCATATTTTTTTTTGTAAATGGTTACAATATAAGTTATTTTACAAGGACAACAAGAGAAAAAGGCTAAGACACGGGTCAAAAAAGTTACGTGAATATAACCAACGGTGTAGGTTTCATTGCAACGAAAAGATTCCTTACGAACAGAGGGAATCAATATTTTATAAATAGTGGGAGCTAGGTAAGTGGAAGCTTCAGAGATCGTTTTTAAATGGTGCATTAGAATTGCAGCCTGTCATAAGGAAGAAAGATCATGTAACTATAACTTGGCTGGTCATAGAGTGAGTAACTCAAAGATAACTAAACCCAGGCTTGAATGTGTCAATTATGTGAAAACTGTACGAAAAATTTTGTAGAGAAGAAAAAATGTTTATGACAAAAATGACAGCAATTAAATTGTTTTCAAGTGCCAACATCTAATATTTTCTAATTTAATACTATCATGTAAAAATAACATACAAAATAGTTTTTTAAATAATAATAAAACCACCTATGTATTTTGTGCACATTGAGCATTTTCATTCTCACAAAATTAATGAGAGGTAAAGGGATCCATGTGCACACCTTCAATTTTTTTATACATAAAACAGTAACCGAATATTGTAATACTTTTTGCTATTGGCAATAACAACCCAAAGACCTTATTATCCTTCTTATATGGTCAAAATAATGCAATTTTAAATTTCCATCTTACAATAATCTTCCGACTTTGACTTGAGTTGTCTCAAAATGATTTTGTTGCTTAGACCCCTTGATTTCTAGGGGCCTCATATACAATATATGAATCTGTATAAATCGATCGACTTAGAAAAATTAATGATTTTAAGCGCATATAAGTTGACAAGATAAATTATTCTTCTGTCTCTCAAGCTGGAATATTGGAAACAACCTGCATTGTGGATAAAACCTTGAATAAGGATTTTAAAACAACGGTACGAAAGTATCATAAAAGGCCAACAACCAACATTAAGATTGACCTGACAGTAGACTGGTTGCCACATGCTATAATCACCTCCTATGATGAAAACTGTCGGTTAAAAGAAAGTCGCCCTCCCAGACAAGAAACTTGGTGGAATAAAGAGCTCACTGATCTCGGAAGAGAAACAAGATGACTCTTTAATAGGAGGAAGAAATCCGGTGATTGGGAAGCTTATAATTATAAACCTATAAGACAATCGTCTTCTCCAAGGAAAGATTCTGGAAATAATTCTGTGAAAATATTGAAAGTGTACCTGACAGTGCGGGATAATAGAGTATCTTTTAAGGTACTATTATCATCTAGAATGTTAAAAAAATGGCACATTTTCAACAATTTCTAAGCTTTTTAAACTTATAATACAATTATTGACGATTACAAAAACTTGTTTTCTGCGTTTTTTTTTTCATTTTTCGTGTATTTTAAAGAGGGCACCAAAAATATTTCGTGTAAAAATTACTTTATCTTTGGAAGGCAAATCTGAAACATAAAATGCAAGCAGGGTGTTAAAAAACAAGTGCCCTTGCGTGATAGTTTATCAGAAAAATTAAAAATTCTTAAAAAAAAACAAAATGGCTAACAATCTGTTCAAAAATTGACCTTTTTCGACTTTTTCAGTCACAACAATTTTATTATTACTTCTCTTGGTCGAATTGTTGTAAACTATCATAGAGAAAATATTAAAAGGTTACTACTTCACAATATTTACGCAAGCTAGCAAGGTCGGGTTTACACTTACTAGACTTCCGATAAATGTTTTAAATAACATTAATATTTTGTCTTTGTAATGCGTTTGTATGCGCAATGTTAATGCGCAAGCTAGAAGAAATGTATACCTCCTTCTCAAATGCCTCAAAATCTATGGGCCTGCAAGTAAATGACGAGAAAACTAAGATGATGGCATCAACACCCAACAATAGAGTCAGGAACATCGGTCCCCAATTCACGGTTGATAACTCTACCTTGGAAGTGGTGAACAAATTCACATACTTAGGCTCCCTGATCACAAAAGAGAACGTCATAACGGAAAAAATCAAGCGAAGGATAATAATGGCAAACATATGCTATTTTGGACTGAGTAGACATATGAAAAGTAGAAACTTAAGCCAAAAAACAAAAATAACTATATACAAAACCCTTATACAGCCAGTGTTGACATATGAATCGGAGACATGGACCATCTCCAAGGCAGACGAAGAAGACCTTCTGCTTATATTTGAACGAAGGATCCTGAGAGGAATATTTGGTGGCATCTGTAAAAATGGTGTTTGGAGGAGGAGATACAACTACGAGGTATACCACAGATATAAACAAATATTTGGTGGTAAAGACGTAGTATATCTTATAAGAATAGGAAGACTAAGATGGGTAGGACATCTAGCAAGATCACAGCAGAACAACCCTCCTAGAACAATCCTTATGTCTCAACCCGTGGGAAGTAGAAAAACGGGTAGGCCAAAACTCAGATGGAAGGATGGTGTAAATGGGGATGGTAGAAAGATAGACGCAGCAAACTGGCAACGGTTGGCAATGGATAGGACTGCCTGGCGTAATAGACTTGGGAAGGTCGAGGCTCTTTCATAGGGCTGTAGCACCATTGATGATGAATGCGTTTGTATATTTCTAATGACTTTGTTAAACTCCTTATGTGTATTTTGTTTAACCGTTTAAACAGTTTTTTATATTTGATGTTTTAGGCTACTTTATATTCCATCAAGTTCAAACACCACTTGGCACTAAAGCACTACGAACTCGCCTTCGATTCGTTGAATGCGAATCCAGATGCAGAACGAAAAAAAGACAACCTGAGAGATTTGGTCAAAACACTGTTGGATGAAAAGAAATTGGATACATTATTGAACTTTACGTATGGTAGCATGGATGAGTTCTTTACAAATATACTGTTGACTAGAGCTAGAGCAAACGATGCGGTCAACAACATTTTCTACGACTTCTTATATTCGTATCAAATTAAAAGAGGACCCCTGTCACACAGACTAGGTAACTGTTTTAAGGGTATTCTTATCGAGAATTAATTTTAGTAGACTTTACATTTTTATATATCAACTTCATTTTTCTCTTCAGGTAGACCAAGAAAGGATTTACATTTAAAGTGTACGATTATAAAATATTTGTAACTATTTACTTTCTACGTAAACGTCCATTCTATAGACAACAAATTATAATTTCTACTGTTTTCAATGCTTTTTATTATATATATGAAACTTCTAAGATTAATATTATTACTAAAATTAATATCAAACTCACCAGTTTTCTGAGTTGAACCGCGTCGATATCCATTTTGCCGAGCTTTCGGCATCCTCTCTGATGCCTTCCGCAGGGCTTCCGAGGTTTCAGTCTCCCGAGCCCCAACACACTACTACACTGTTCACTGATCACTGCTACACTGTGAACAGTGTAGTAGTGTCTGGGGGCTCGGGAGACTGAGACCTCGGAAGCCCTGAGGAAGGTATCAGAGAGGATACCGAAAGCTCGGCAAAATGGATATCGACGCGGTTCAACACGGAAGACTGGTGAGTTTGATATTAATTTTAAAGCTTGTTGGGATTTTCGTCTTCTGTACTTCCGTTTTCTGTTATGACACTTCCAAGATACGTAAAGTTTTCCATATTTTCAATCTCCATATTGTCGATAGTAAATGGCGTGTTGTTCCTTGCATTTATTCTCATGGACTTGGTTTTACTAATATTGATTTTCAAACCTATTTTTTTGGCTTCAGTGGAAAGTGTTTCCAATTGGTAAGCCAGATCTTGGACCCTCTGACCTAATAGGCAGATATCGTCCGCGTATTCTAGATCGCTTAGGCGTGTGATTAACGTCCATTGTATTCCTCTTGTGTCGGAGTCTAGTTTGGAGAGAACATAGTCTATAGCTATGATAAAAAGAAACGGAGAAAGCACGCATCCCTGTCTAACTCCAGTAAGTACGTCGAATTCGTCACTGTTGATCCCATTGTGTGTCACGCTGCATTTCGCATCAGTATATAGTGACTTTATAATAGAAATTATTTTTTGCGGGATGTTTCTTAGCTCTAAAATGTTCCATATGATGCTTTTTATTAGTTACAAGGAAATTCATCTGAATCATGGACTAAATACACAGTATATTGCTAAAGAAATTCTTTATTAGCAATATACTGTGCTAAATCATCTCCATACAGTAGCTCTTATGTTGATCCATTAAATTATCATTATCAATTTCGCCATTTTTGGTAATTTTATTAATATTATGAAAAAAGACATTGCTTGAATCAGATCTCTCTATTTTTTTTTGTAATTTTTAGCTGCATCAGTAATGTACGAGCAGGCTTTCAGATTAAATCATATTAATAGCGTCGAAGCACTGGAAAAACAGGTAAAATGCTACTTGGCAGCCAAAAACGTTCTACATCTATGCAAACCAGAACACGCTTGGGTAGTGCGACCAGCCGATCCAGATGAAGAAGATGAAGTAATAACTATTCAGCCTTTGGCCGGATCAAATGAAGTAAGAATTTAAATGTAAAAAGATAAACTGAATCGTCTTTCATATTTTGTGTTCTTGTAGGAAATGAAAGTGTTTAGATTGAGAAAACAAGTTGAAGTTGTTAATATCGAAACTGTTGAGAAGGAACTTATTTTCGCAAGTGCAAAATTAAAATTGGCAAGGTTTAGTTCGAGCCTATCACCAGTTAATATAACAAGTAAGTCAAAATATCAATTTGTAGATAATCGAATCTATTCGTTGGTTATGTTGAATTATTATGTGTATTTGTGTTATTAGTATTTCATCTAATCGAGCTGCCTTATTGTCTTTAGAGTTTTTGATAGCATATTTGATTTCATCTATCATGATCTTCCTTCTCTCTACAGGATTTAATTCTCGTATTTTCTGCATTTCACCTCTTTCATCTTTGAAAAGTTCTCTAACGTACTCCTCCCATCGTCTTAATTTCTCTGGTAAATCTATTAGTAGTACTCCTTTTTTGTCTTTTATGTGTCCTTGCTGTCTATTTCGATCCATTCCAGTCACTTGTTTTTTTGTGCATATTTCTCATATCATATTTGGTTTCTAGTTCTTCTATCTGTTTACTTTGTTTCATCAAATAGATTTCCTCAGCTGTTTTGATTTTTTCCTTAATTATTCGTTGTATTTCTTTACACTTCTGTAGATCTTTTTCTTTTTATTTCCTTATTTCTTCCATCTGTAATGGTATTTCTTCTGTCATCCACTGTTTTTTAGCCTCGGATCTATGTTGTACCAAACTTTCTTCAGCTGGTTTCAGTAATATGTTTTTTATATTACATCATTTTTTATTTACATCCATAATTTGTTTGTTGTCAGTTAGGAATGTCCATCCAATCCAATGTCATCGACCTAGAGCCATAACATAATTTAAATTTGGAATGATGTAAACCCATATATGGATGTCACAGCCAAAACTTTATTGTTAGCTTCAACTACATAAGGCACTGAGGATGATCTGATTAGATCGAAAACGTTATGCTACTATATACATTTTGACGACACTTTTAAAAGTTTTAACTATGTTTTTATACCAAAATACAATTGTGAAGTTTTTTAACTTCTGTATAAGTTTTTTTTCCTTATTTTTTAATTGTCATATTAGTGATTCCGGCAAAAAATATATACTCCTATGGAAAATGTCCAATTTCAAAAGAATTCCGCAGTGGACTATATTGAAATGATATAAATATACTACATCTTTATTTCATGGTCTGATAACCGCCAATGTATTTTACCGTTCAATATATACCCAGATATTTTGTTACTCAGTTTACAACGAGACTGATTTCTTTTATTGAAATAATTATCTAATTATTTTAGCTCCTGTGGAATTGGTAACATTATTAAATACTGCTGGTCTATTCAAAACTGCCCTAGACATTTGCACGACATTTGAATTATCATATGCAAGCATTTTCGAAGTATTAACAAAGAACTGCGTTTCATTGACTGAAGAAGAAAATCCCAGTGCTTGGAACTGGCTGGTAGAAAATGATTTGCAAGGTAATGTTATCCTAAATTCAAATAAAGTAACCTTTTGTTTACTAATAAAGTTTTATTTTAGATCTTCCAGTTAATAGAGATAGTGCAGCAGATGTAGTTTGGCAGTTCCTACAGGACTGCTTGGAGAAATATGAAAAACCTTGCATGACCACACTACATTATGTCGTTTGCAAAAAGATTATAGGCATGAGAGTCTATTTTCCCCATTGGCTTGTAGCTTCCTACAAGGTATGTATACTTTTATTGTTTGTTACTTAAATTTCTGAATGACATTCTGCTGGTTTTGCAGTGGAAAGATCCATTAATTGTTAAATTATACGATAACATGGGAAACTGTTGGTAGATATGGTTCTACAACTTTTTTTTAATTTTTAGTTAGTCTAAGTTTGTATATATTTTTAAGGTTCGAAATCCTGCTGAGTTTTTAAGATTATTACATGGTTCCGGAAGATTAGAAGAAGCAATTGAATTTACAAGCGAGTATATACTATCTGCAATGGGTTACGGTAAAGAATTTTTCGGTTTTACACAACCTTTAGCTCCAACGTCGCCTGCTTTTTGTTTACCTGTCTATGCCATCGAAAGGTTAATTGAAGAATTAAAAATACAAAATTCCATGAGTCTGGAGCAACCTTATCAGAAGGTATGTCGTCTAATAGTACATTTTCAACCATTTATATTATATTATATTATATTCAACCTTTATTATATTTTATATAATTTAAAAAAATCCTTTAAATTTATTTAAAAAATGCCTTTCGGGCTACATCACAGAACGTTTTCGGAATACCTATCCCATCATCAGTGCTCTTACTTGGTATACATGTGTGAAGCCACTAAATACATGGATAAAACCCTTTAAATGTTTTTAAATTAGTTTTAAATTACATTGTTGCTAATAATATTATAGGAAGTTAAAGTTTTAAACAGAATTCACTTCATGACAATTAAGACTCCCAAATTGTGGTTGCTGGCCCGGAGACTTATTGTATAGAATGACTTTTAGGTAGAAACTATATGCTCAGTTTAACTTTAACATCTTATAAATGTTTCACGGAAATGGTTGTTTGGCAATTTTCGCACATTGGTGACACAGTTCGCATGTGTTTTTGGGTTAAGTTACTGTATCCTACACGCAATCGCGTTATTTTTACTTGGTGTGGTCTGTTCAATGTTGCTTGAGGTCACGGTTTTACTAATTGTTTACTTTATTTTATTTACGCTACACTCCACATGTTTTACCACGCACTATAAACACTTTAGATTTTTCCGTAAAATAGTTTCGAAACACAATTCAGATTTCTGCTTTAATCTATGATTTCTAAAAATTTCAAAGCAAAACAGACGTTGATGAAGGTGTTAAAAGAGACATGGGGAATCTAAAATTCCCCATGTCTCTTTTTCTTTCTGTAGAATTGTCTGTAGAATTCTAAAAAATCTACAGAGTAGATCCGCATAAAATGAAAAAGACAGCAAATATTTGATTTCACGCAAACAGCGCCTATGTATCTGTTGATACGTACTTCGACCTAATAGGTCTCATCAGAACATTTATTCATAGGTGTTCTCAACGTGAAAGATCAATATTTTCTGTCTTTTAAGAAGCAACACTAAAATGGCTTCGATATGGACGCAATAGCGACATCTGATAATAAATCCGTAAAATAGTTTCGAAACACCTTCTAACACCTTCATCAACGTCTGTTTTGCTTTGCAATTTTTAGAAAGCACAGATTAAAGCAGAAATCTGAATTGGGTTTCGAAACTATTTTACGGCTTTATTATCAGATGTCGCTATTGCGTCCATATCGAAGCCATTTTAGTGTTGCTTCTTAAAAGACAGAAAATATTGATCTTTCACGTTGAGAACACCTATGAATAACTGTTCTGATGAGACCTATTAGGTCGAAATACGTATCAACATATACATAGGCGCTGTTTGCGTGAAATCAAATATTTGCTGTCTTTTTCATTTTATTCGGATCTACTCTGTACGAGTACATGAAACCAATTCGCTAAGGATTTCTGCTTAGTTGAAAAGACATGTCGTGGAATGCAAATTTTAGATTCCCCATGTCTCTTTTAACACCTTCATCAACGTCTGTTTTGTTTTGCAATTTTTAGAAGGTAAAGCAGAAATCTGAATTGTGTTTCGAAACTATTTTACGGATTTATTATCAGATGTCGCTATTTTAGTGTTGCTTCTTAAAAGACAGAAAATATTGATTTTTCACGTTGAGAACGCCTATGAATAACTGTTCTGATGAGACCTATTAGGTTGAAATACGTATCAACGTATTTGATTTGAGAATGCGGCACCAACACCGTTTGATGATTTGGATTCGTCAGTATATATTTTATAGAGTGATTTTGATAAGTTTCCTCTTCTTTTAAGAATGGCTGTTTGATCCATTCTGTTTTTTGCATACACTGAAGTTGGTATTAATTTTGGGAATTATTATTAACCAAGGTGAAAAGTTAAGGAATTTATTGGGAAGTCGTCAGGAAACTGAAGATGAAGGTCATAAAGGTTTCTACTAACTCTTTCACAAAATGAAGGATCCAATATTGCTGCAGAGAAAATGTTCGATCGAAAATGAAATCGATCCTTGAATGTAGTTAAAAATAGGGTGCTCCTTATTACTAGCTGTTTTGGAAGCATATGATAGACAAAGATATTTGCATCGTAAACTTAGTGGTGGTTCTCCTGTTAGGCATTGTAAAATACAATATTTAAAATATATAAAAACCTTAAAAGTCACTTGTTATATCTGTTAATCTCTCCCGTTAGTATTATTACTGCAAGAGATTATATAAATCTGAGATACCACTGACATAGAACGATATTAAATAATTTCTTTTTTTGTTTCAGGAATATGAAAATTTAAAAACATTGTTTGCAAAATATTTAGAGACTGCCACAAGAGTATCGAACCAGATGTGTCAAACAAAATTAACTTCGGGATCCCTTAGAACGAATGTTTTTTCAATAGATGCTAGATAATACTTTCTTCAATCTTTTTTTTATACAATAAATACTTTTAAGTAATAATGACTTTTTTTATTGTCTCAATCTCAATAGGCGGATGATAACAGAAGACATAAAATTAGCAGAAATAATTTGGAACTCAAGATTTGTCGTAAATGTAGTACTACATATGACAATTGTTCACACATTTTTCCAAAAAAAGGGTAAGTCAACGTATTACATTTACAAGTAGACAAATTCATTCTGAAATATGCCAGTTTATGACAAGAAAAAAAAAATAGATGAATGTAAATAAGTTACTTGTGCTATATATTGAAGAAGATGCGAGACTAAACCAAAAATAGTAGAGAAAAATGTAAAATATCAAATGGTGAATATTAAAAGTAAAAGTGAAAGTCAAGACCGTAATACGTGGTGAAGAGCCACGTCCTAAACGAAGTAGCCCCGTTAGCTGAATATTACCAGTGTAAAGTGAAATTTACACATTTTTCTTTACCATAAAAACACGCTATGTTCCAGGAGACAACCTATCGAAAAACTTGCACGCAATAAAACATATCGTGGACCTGGTATGAGGAAAATTGCAATTTTATATCGCTTAAGACAAGAATAAGGATGTACGGCAATTGGAAAACATTTTAATTTAGGTGAATCAACTGTAAGAGTGATTAAGAAGAATGCAGTTGCTATAAGAAAATCTATAATTTTTGGTACAAATTTCTGCTAATAGAAAAGCAGCCAACAACAAGTTGGGGAAGCCATAGTTAATAAATATTGGACGATAGCATAAACAAAAATATCAGAAATATGTTGTTGATGAAATGGCTCACAGCCATGGAGTTTGGTTTACCAATTACAACCATACTATTAAGAGCTTAATCCTATTAAGCTAATCCCGAGACAACTGGCAAGTCGGTTTAATCAACTTTAAGTTGTGTGATGTAAAAGTGCTCTTCCACGAAGACACAAATAACGTTACCTTAGAAAACTGACAAAAGTGCATCTTTCACTCTCAGAAAGAATAATAAAAGATGTAGAATTATGGAACATATTGTCGTTCAACTCGATGCAGATTGTAATGACTCATGCATTTCGTATGTTGAATAAAAGTAAGTTATGTAAAATTTAATAATTATTGAGATTGGAAAGTATTTTCGTGAGTTTTCACCAAGAATTTAAGACAAAATTTGATGGTGTTTGGGAACACACATGTATTATTGATCTTCTTAGAGTGCCATATCCCTACGGAACGTTGGCGACTATCATGCTTATAATATTGTTATACTGATCTCGGTCTTGCGCTACGTGTAGGAATTAGTCCGCTGTCAAACCTGTCCACTGCCGCAAATTCCTCAACCAAGAGAGTTTCTTCCGTCCTATCCATTTCTTTACTTCGATTTTACCGTTGAGAATTAGCCGAAGGAACTCATATCTTGGTCCTCTGATTATATGTCCAAGATATTCTAGTTTACGTCTCTTAATAATATTTAATAGAGTTCGTTGATGTCCCATTCTTCGAAGAATATCTTCGTTTCTGGTTCCGCTAGTCTATGGAATTTTTAGTATCCTTCGATACAACCACATCTCAAACGCCTCGATTTTATTCATGATATCGCGTTTAAAGTCCAAGTTTCACATCCATACAAAAGTACAGACCACACGTAACATCTTGTAAACTTTTCACGGATTTCCAAATTTAATGAGTTATTGGATAATAGAGGCTTGAATTTTTGAAATGAGTTTCTTGCCTGTTCAATTCTACATCGAATTTCGAAGGATGGATCTAGATTTTGGGTAATCCAACATCCAAGGTATTTAAATCATTATATATTTGAATATTATTGATAATGTCATTTAATTTTATAATGAATTTTATTGTTTTTTATATTTGTAACCGACAATGATAAGGTGGTAATTCATTTACTTGTACAAAGTTTAAATTTTTGTTAGTCTATTTTAAAAAAATTTTTGAAGTATTTACACACTTTTATGGTCTTATACACATCCTTCTGCTCTTAAACCGTAACTGCCCATAATTTAAAAATTTGTAAAAATTTTATATCTTCATAGGAGGATTTTTATCATCGAGCAAGAAGACATTGTCTTTTTGCTCGATGATTTTTATTAATATATAATACATACGTCTGTAAAATTTAAACCAGATCGAGAGCGTCGCCTGACCAACTTTGGCATAGTTGACGTGGAATTATTACCCAGTTGTCAAATGGCAGCTATCTAAACATAACCATATCAAATACTGCGTAATATATTTTTTAATCAGATTATTAAGAGTCTAAACTTTTACAATTCATCAGCCGATTATAACTAAAAATGAATAACATGAATATTTACACTAATATTACACTAATATTGAAACAATGAAATAGGTCAATTCTTTCAAGATCAGTTTTATTTCGCAACAAACAGTTTTTAAAAAATCAATAGGTATATCAAAATTTGCAATTATGTTTTATCCATCATCCAATCTGTAATTTAAAGGTTATATATTTGGCAAACCTTATGTTCACAAAAAATGCATGAATTAATAGTAGAGTTCAAGTTCAAATATTTAGATCATATATCTAAGTATATACTTCAGCTATTAAAGAACTTCTTCTTTTTATATAGACATCACTCATGTCTGTTTTTCAATGTGCCTCCAGTAAGTTGTCATTCGGCTTATATGATCGTTCCATTCTACTCTTTTAATTATTACCCAGTTTTTGATGTTCTCTACCTTGCATCTATCTCATATATTTGTACTTCTAGATAGCTAGATAATGTGATTGTAAATCATCTTCACTTTGAGAGAGTAGTATTACATCGTCTGCAGAGCAGATTATTTTAAGTTGTTTTTCTCCCATTTAGTATCCTTTTTAAGTTCATACTTTTTTATTATTTTATCTATAATCAGGTTCAACAATAGAGGACTCAGGGAATCTCCCAGTCTTATCCCATTGCCAGCTTCAATAGGGTCGGTTAGTTCTTCTACTTTTACTTTTATTATGAAATAATAGTAAAAGAAATAGTCAGTGAGCCTGACCTTATTTTTTTTCATAAATTTACTATATGATTTTAAAAATGCAAATTAAATTGGACTAAATGATTGCTTTGCAAATTTAAATTGGGACTTACTTTTATCAGATGATGTGGATTACAGCTTAGCAGTATTTTATGTATTTATATTTATAGGTTTTGACTTCTTTGTTCCGATCAAAAAACTTAAAACAAGTTCGTTTCCAATTTGGTTTAATGGTAAATTAAGGAAGTTGATATAAAAGAAAATACATAAGCAGTATAAATTATTTGGTAGAAGGGATGATTATTTAAGATTTTCTCAGTTAAGAAATGAATGTAAAAAAGTCTCCTCTCAATGTTATAGTAACTGTTTGAATAATATCGAGAATGGGATTCTATCTAATCCTCGACATTTTTGGAAGTATATCAATACTAAACGTAAAAGTTATAATCTGCCATCTAATATGTTCTACGGTGATAATACAAGTGATAATGCTCAAGACGTAGTTAATCTATTTGGTAAGTTTTTCTCAACTACATATTCTAATTCTAAAATTAATCAGACTCCAATTTTTAACTATCAGCAGAGTGTAAATGTAAATAATTATAGTATTGAGGTCTCTGACATAATTGATAGTGTTTTAAAGATGCCTTGGAAATTATCGCTTGGACCAGATTGTTTGCCAGCTTATGTTCTCAAGCATTGCATTTTTACTCTTGTAAAACCTATCTGCTACTTATTTAATTCCTCATTGAGTACCGGCATCTTTCCTGATCTTTGGAAGAGTAGTTATTTAACACCAATTTTCAAATCTGGTAATAAAAATGACGTTGAAAATTATCGAGCGGTTTGTAACCAATCTGTATTACCCAAACTTTTTGAGTGTCCTCTAAATAACTTTTTGACATGAAATTGTAAAGATTTAATTGACGTTGGACAACATGGCTTTTCTAAAGGTAAGTCTACATGCACGAACTTAATATTGTATACGAATTTTATAGCTAATTCAGTGGAACAGAAGGGTCAGGTTGACGCTATCTACACAGACTTCTCAAAAGCCTTCGATAGAGTTAACCATGATCTGCTTATTGCTAAATTAAATGACTATGGATTTGGAGGTAAAATAATTGAGTGGATAGGTAGTTATATATCTGGTAGATGTCAGTATGTTAAATATGGAAATTGTTTATCTCAACGAGTATCCGTAACCTCAGGAGTTCCTCAGGGGTCTCATATTGGACCTCTCTTATTTAATATATTTGTTAATGATATATCCTCAGTGATTAAAAATAGTAAATTTCTAATGTTTGCTGATGACCTTAAAATATTTCGAATAGTTAATGACCTAATTGATGCCTCTTTGTTATAGAATGACATTAAAAGCTTAGCTAGTTGGTGTGAGGTAAACATGCTATACTTAAATATACAAAAATGTTTTAAAATTACTTTTGGAAGATCAAGAGAGTTTGTAAATTATGATTATTGTATAAATAATATACCTTTAGAGGCACGTCATAATATTAAAGATTTAGGTATAAATTTTGATTCTAAACTAACTTTTAAACATCACATTAACGAAACTTCAGCTAAAGCTTTAAAAATGTTGGGATTTATTCTTAGAAGCTGTAATCAGTTTTCAGTACAAACTTTAAAAATGTTATACTTTAGTTATACTCATGTATAATGCATGTAATAAAATCATTGTATTTAATAAATAAAAATATACCATACATTTGCTACCGTTTGTTAAAATTAAAAGGTAAACAACAAAGGAAACCACCGTACGAAAAATTACATACCGTACATTGACTTGAAAAACAAAAAAAAACAACTAAATAAACCGATTTACGGTGAACCAGGTCGTCTGAAAAAAATCGATCTATTATCATGAACCATTCTTTGACTTATTTTAAATTCTAAAGCAGCATTCAACAATTTCTGTAAAAACTGCATTAATATGTATTCCGAATATACAGGATGTAAGGTTCATCAAGGTACATTGTAAAATATCAACGACTATAATAAGTGTGGATGTTATA